TGCTGTCCGGCCCCCCCCCCCGGCCCAGGCAGGATGGTGCTGGCTCCCGCCGGGGAAGGGAGCTCCTTGGAGAGAGGAAGCCCACGCGTTCGTTAAATCCTGGCCTTCGTTAAGCTCATTAAAGCTCAGGGGTTTGTTCTGGCAGGAAAAGCCGTGGGGTGGAGCGTGCCAGGGTTGCTGCGGGGCTGAGGGGGATTAAAGACCCCCTGGGGATGTGTCCCCCACTGTGCCGGAGCCTCCGCGGCCACCCCGAGGCGGCAAATTTTACCCCCTGGGGTAATTAAGGGCTTTCTGTCCCCACCCTGGCAGGGAAAGCCGCCGGTAAATCCCTGACCTGAGCTCAAAATCCCCCGTGCCGGGGGCCTGGAGGCATCTCTGTCCCCAAAATAAATCAGGGATCTGACCCTGAGCCACCCTCCAGAGAGTGTCGGAGCCTCTGAGCTTTGGCAGCACAAGAAAACTCTTTTTTTGGGTTTTTTCCCCCGCCTTGTTTCTTTCCTTACCTTTCCCTCCCCGAGTCCTTCACAACCAGAAAACCACTGCTAAGCAACAAGCGTCTGTTGTGCTTCGCTGTGACCCAGACACCAGCAAGGAGGGGGAACCACAACAACAACAAAAAAAAATCACAGCCCTCTCCAAGCCCACACGGGGCGGGGAGGGTTAAAAAAAAAAATCCTATTTGGCATCAAAACCGTTTTATTACTCGCTTTGAAGCGTTACATCTCTCACCTGGGTTGGCACGCTTGCTGCAAGGTTAAGCTCTGCAAATAAAATGCTCGTCATCCAGCTGGAAATGGAAATAATAAAAATCCGAGGCACTGAAAAAAAATAAGCAGGACTTTGTACACTGAAAGGCCTTAATATAAATAGGTAAGAAAATATTTATTTGTTTAAAGAGGAATCTCAACCCCAGCTCTGTCAAAGAGACCGACTCCATTCTGTCCTTCGTGGCATATGTCACTTAATAAAATGTCCGCAGAAAGAAGTAAAAATCCGTCTTGAAAACAGACGGGGTGGGGGGAAACCAAACAAAACTTCCCAGAGCAAGAAATTAGGAATTTCAGCATCGAAAAGCAGCGGTCCGGCTCCCCACCTCCCACATCGCGGAGTTAAGCGCTCGGAAAAAAACAACAGGGCGACGCTCGGCTTCTCGACAAGGTGTTCGTCTGGATTTTGCAGGTGAGATGTCTCCAGGAGGATGCTCCCCGCCCAGGGAAGGATTCATCCAGTGAGAAGTCGCCGAGGAGGCTCCATCGTATACACCTTTAGCGAAAATTACCTTCGCTGGGGCAGCGCTGCGAGCAAGAGTCCTCCTGCTCTGAGCACTCGCTCACCTTCTCGTTATTAAGGAGAGGTGATCGAGCTGACGGCTTTTTTTGCAGAAAAGGAGAAGCCTCCGAGGTTTGCTGTAGAAAATAAAAGGCCCCCGATGCAGAGGGCGGCGGTTCGGAGTGTTTTAAGGCACGCGTTCATTTGCTCTCTGGCACTTATTTCAGCATTTTGATGCTGGGGGCAGGGGATTTAAGGGCAGGAGCGGGGTGTCCCAAAGCCCCTGCTTTGGTCCCGAAGGAATTGTGATGATCCCAGCACCCGGGCGGGGAAGAACAGACGAGGGGCTGGGGTCAGAACTGAACCCAGCCTGTGTTTGCCTGAGTCTGGTTAGAAGCTGACCTGGAGAGAGAGAGAGAGAAAAAAGAGCGTGAAAAAGAGGTTTGAGACACTGAAAGGGACCGCAGCACGCAGGGAGGGAGCTGGGCAGCCCGAACTGGGTCCTCTGGGGTCACCCCAAAACTCTCCCCACTGCACAGAGCGGCCCAAGTCAGCGAGGGAAGACGGGTCATGCCGTGGCACTGGGAGGAAGAAGAAAGCAAGCGCCCACGGACCTGCGCTGAACTCGTGGAATCTGCGACACACGCTGTCAGAGTTGCTTTTAAATCCCAAACGGGTGTTTGGATGGAGCGATGCCCCCACCCCAGCAAGGGTTTTCAGCAAAACAAGTAGGATTTGGATCGCCCACGTCACCCGCGAACCCCACCACGGCCTCACCCCGAAGCTTTGGCAAAGTCTCCCCAGGTGTCGGCGGCGGCAGAGGGAGCAGCAGCGGGCTGCGGCCAGGACAAGAGGGAGTCTGCCGGCGGCCGGCAAAGCCAGAAGAGAGAAAACAAACATCAGGGGTTAGTCCCACTCTTACTCCCAAATTCCCCCTCTGTTTTCCCAACTTTGATGGATAAAACTGACTCTAAGAGAGTCGTCGCTGCCTGACCACAGACCTGTGATGGGGGTGCCCGGGAGCTGGGCGGGTGTGGAGAGCGAAGACGGACGCTCTCCGGAAGAACAAACTGGAGCAGAAGATTTTCCGCTGGGAGGTGGTGGGAGCAAGCTCAGGCCCCCAGGACCCGCGGGACGCGGTCTGGTGTTCCCTGTTGCTCCTTCCTTTTTCTTCATATTCTGAAAGAAGAGAGGGAAAGTTGGGTGGTGTCACATTTAAATCAAGAGCCGGAAAGCGATTCCTCCCAGCCACGGTGCGCAAAAAGCCGAGCTGCTCTATTCTGGGGAGAAAACTGCTGCGCTGTGACGTCCCACTGCTGGTGGAGCGAGAGAGATCAAACCAAGGATGTTTTTTTTCCCCTGCAAATCCCCACGACGAACCCACAGATCTGGTTCTGTAACCGGGAACTGTAATACAACCCCTCTGCAAATCACTGCACGGGGCGTTATCACAAAGGGCTCTGTACTGAGCTTCCCCCTGCATCGGGATTTAGGGACGAAGCTCTTGCTTCCACTGTGCCACCCAAGGGAAAGGCCGGGAGTGGATTTAGCCGGAAAAGCCCCTCACCGCAATGTTGAGTTTGATGGTTTGCCCCTCCTTGAAACCCAGATCCAGTTTGGGTCCCTGATCAGGGTTCTCGGCCTGTCTGGCCAGCTCGCTCTGCTGCCTCACCCATCTGCAGGGATTAAATAAGCAGAAAAGGACATGTCTACCACCAGCCTGAGACTCTCCCAGACAAATCCTGCCCAAGATCATCCCCTCTGCCCGGCAGCAGCTCTTTAAAGGTGCTGGATGCGATCTGAGACCTTGCCCAAGGGAGTGACATGATATGGGCAGTGCCAGGGGAATGATCCCCACCAGCGGCTGTCAGCACTCGAGCGGCACAGATCCTTCAGCCAGCAGCACAAGCCATCCTGACCCAAAGCCCCATTGTCTGCCAGCGGCTGGAACAGTGTCCCACTCCCTCAGGAGCAGCCCCTTATCGGTGGCACATGAAAAAAAGGAAAGGAGTTAGGGAATTGTCCAATTTTGAACTGGGAAGCCCAATTTGTGAGCCTGCTGGGAAATACAAGAGAAAGGGAGAGCTGCCTGCACAAAGGTTGCACAGCGAAACACGCATTTCCACTTCCTTACACCACGCTTGCCTGCTCAAGCACGACAGGAGCTCACAGCTTCCTCTCCCCTGCCATTTCTGGTGGGCATCCGCAAGAAGCCATCAAGCTGAGAGGACACAGGGAGAGGCACAAACTCACTTAAAATGGTCTTGGAGAGCCACATTGAAGTCAAAAGCATCCCCTCGGTCGACAAAGCCGACTCCGATGAAAGCTCGGCGGCCTGGGGAAGGAGGAAGAATACGGGCTGAAATCACAAAGCAGTGGAGGAAGAGGGATGGGACACCCTGTCCCGCACACCCTTGAGTCTGCCGCCTCCTCCAGCTGGAGCTGGGACTCAGGAGACTGAGATATGGGACTGGAAATATCTTTAGCTTGTTGGTTGCACATACAGGCTTAGTAAAACCAGCTTTTAAATTAATATAAGCGAGTCAAAGCAGAGATTGGCATCATGGCAACAATCCTGCACAGAGAGGCGTCCTCACGCTAATGCTGAGTAGCAAAGTTAAACTGTTTTTATTCCCACTGAAGGACAGAGCATGGCTGATGTGTGGGAACGAGATAATTCGTCCCTTTGCAGGGAATATTTAGCCCTTGAAAGCAGGAATCCATCACAAATGAGAGCAGCAAGGGCACTGAAGACTTTCTGAGGCGACTCCCCCAACCCGTCCCCTGGGTATCGTGACGCACCGTTTCCATCTTCGATCCGGATGACAAAATATCTGCTGGAGTCTGTCACGCTCTCCACGGCAATGCCAGGGAACTGCTCCACTGGCGCCTGGGCAAAAAGCTCTCCTAAAAAAGAGAAACGGGAGTGGGTTAACGCCAGGGCGTAGCGTCTCTGCGCTGTCTTCCTCCCCACAAAGAGGCGCGGAGCCGTTGCCTTCCCTCCTCCTCACCCGAAGTCTTGTCCTCCAGCTTAATGAACGCCACCTTGCCCTTGGCCGTGATCCGCAGCCTGCCGCTCCACGCCGGCTGGGGCCTCTGCAGCTCTGGAGAGAGAGCAAACAGCGACGAATGTCTGAGTTCCCCCTCAGGTCCCAAACACCACCACCGACCTATTTTAATGCCCCCGTAATGCATCATGAAGCCCATCTACTCAACTTCCTTCGTTAACGGTATCAAAGCGCCTCAAGTGAGAACCCACTTGCACCCGCACTCGCTGCGGAAGGAGGTAGATTCATCACGAGTTCAGCCCAAAGCAGCCAGCCCCCTGCGAAGCCAGGCGTCAGGTCCCAGCGGGACCGGGCAAGAATTGCACAAGGGGTTTCGCTTCCCTTTCCGCAGGATCTCCAGCTCAAAAGCGGTTTTCTCGGAGGTGCTGAGCTGCGTTAGCTACAGCCTGGCTCTGCCAGGACAACCTTTAGTCCAGGCTGAGGACTGACAGGAGGGGAGCCCTGAAAGACACCCGGGGGGATGGAGATACCCGGCTGGGGGTGTGGGGCTGGGATGGGGGGCAGATACACCTCATGAGAGGCAGGCCTTGCTG